GTGACTTCAAAATACTCTTTAAATCATCAAAATATATTCAAAACAGTTTAAAATCAGTTTAAAAATACAGCTGGTTTGGTAAGGGATGCCATGCTACAGAAATCAGGATATGCACTGTTTTTGGTCGTAAACATTTTGACACGCTGTGTATTCAAAATGTTATTGGCAAATCACATATTTATGAACATTTTCTTGCTATTTATAGCAGCTGAGACAGAGACTTATGGTTTAGGGTTAGCCAATGGTTTAGGGTTTTAATGAAGGTTACTATAGATTTACGGTTGACAGTTAAAAGTCAATGGCGGTTAAATGTTTGACTGTTTGATGATAGATTGTAAAATTTCAGTAATTAAGGGTGGTATGTAAAGAGCAGCACTTTGGGGTTACCAATCGTCGAATCAAAAGTATAGATGCTTGCGGCGGCTTGCATTTCGTTTTTTATTATAATTATTTCCCTTATTTTAGGAACATTGGTATTCCAATTATTTAGATACGAGAGAACATGATTATGAGTGATGTAAATATACCATTTGAAAAATCAAAATATAACTTTTGTATGGGTTTTTGGTGACCCACTCCAAATAACTCTTTTGGACTTTTCGATATATATAATCTCAGATATTTTAATGTCATATCTTATATCTATTCATAGCAGTAAGGAATGCATATGTATCCGAAAGAGAATTATTATAACGTATGTCCAAATTAGTAGCCGTAACGTACAGCTGCATATGAAGCATCAGTTTCCGTTTGTAGACTCCCTAAGAGGGAAAGTAGTTGTTTGGTAACTGATATTGAGGTAAACTCTTTTTTTTTTGTGGGGGTCCGTCGATCTCCCTAGGTTAAAAAAAAGGAGCCATTATAACAGGGAAAGAAAACCAGAAATCCGGAGCCGGATATCCCAATTCCCAGGAACTCAGCTCCATTAACAAATCTGCTTGGGGAGCGTGCCCCTGGAAACTACTACAGGGGCCACCTTCGGTGTTCCATATCTCGAGCCCCCTTCATTACAATTCTGTATTTGCCCCAGTTAATTGAAGTTCTACGGCGGCATGAGATCGTAAATTGATTAGTAAGATTTATAACCACTCTATTATGCTTGGACTTATTTCCAATAATTAATGTTGATATATATTGTTTTTAGCCATTGTGTAATAAAATGGTTTAATAAACGTCCTTCGCAAATCTTCGAACTTGTGTTTACTACAGCCTGACTTCCGGGATGAAGACTGTTGGTTCGTTCCTGCACCTCGCCCTCTCATGATCCCCCTTTAAGGGTAGTTTTCTCTTAAGCAGATTTCCAA